TTTTATTAAAGGAACTCAATATCTTATAATTCCACAGAAATATTTGTAACTAATACATAAAATTCTGTATCTTTTTTACGAAGCTTTAAAGAAGGATTAGACACTTTCACTAAACTAAGCATATTTATTAATATTTTCTGAGATACACAAACACATTTCTCTCAGTGCATGAGTGTGCTGAAAATCGGTTTTCAGGTGGCAGCAACATTTAGTTCACTTTACCTATTTCCTCCCCGTTTTCCGGTGATCCGCTCCACTTCACTCCATTCGACAAAACAACAAAAACCGCAAATGCGACAAAAGCAGAATGCAATTCGCACTTGAAACTCTGTGGCACCAACAACAACAGCCATGGCAACAACAACAATAACGCCAGAATGCAAAGGAAAGATCCTTGCCAGAGCGAGATGGAGACAACAAGCATACTTTTGTGGCAGAAACAAAAAAAAAAAACTTCCCGCGGTTGCTTTTCCACTTTTCTTTTTCTCAGCAGAAAACTGCTGCCACTTCGTTTTTCTTTTTGTTTTTGTTGTTGTTGTTGTTGCCTCCCAATTTGCTGCAGAAAATGAAAATTTAAATTTTTAACCAACGCCGAGCAGGCTGGCCAGAAAGTTTTGCTGCCACAGTTTTTGCTGGCGCTGTCGCTGCTGCTGCAGCTGGGAAATTTCACACATTTCCCACAGCGCATTTTCGCAACCTGTTTTTTGTTTTCATTTTATTTTTTTTTTTGTCAACGTCAAGCTGTTTGAGAGAGTGATGAATGGATGGAGACCTCTCGCAGTCACTTTAATTTAACATAATGAAAAGGGAAAACGGAAAACCGGGAAAACCGAATGAAGTGTGATTGAAGCTCCGTGTTGAGAAGCTTCCTGGGGCAGGTCTTTGGTTTGGTTTTGTTTCACTTTGCTTACGAGCTAACAACAATCATCAGCACAGTATGCCCCCGGAGCCAAGGAATGCACATCCGACACCGTGTATCCTGGCCACTTTCCCCGCCCGCTTTCCCAGACTCTGCCGTGCTGTCAGCATGCAACAAATGCCTCGAGTGCATAACAGCCTGCCAGGCGGTACACGGTGAGAAAGAAAAGTGTACAGAAAGAGAGAAAAAATCCTCATTATTTATAATAATTATTCTAATAACTAAAACTAAATTTAAATAAAATGTGTTTTAGATTATGTAAAATTATATTTAAATATTGAAACAACCAAAGAATTTCCCTCTGTGCAGGCTCTCTAAGCTCTGGATTTCACCCTGACTCCGGCATAAATCATGGCTGGCATTTGCATGTCCCGCAAGCTCCTCCTACTGCATGCAGCTAATCTTCGTCCTGGCCAAGTGGCAAGTGCATCCTTTGTATGCCTTTCATGTACTTGCTCAATTAAAAAATTGCTCCAGTTTGGGGGGGAAATTCGGGTTCGCCTTGTCGGGCAATTAATATGTTTGGTCTCCGGTAGAGAAAGCATTTTTAATTGCATTTTCACACGAAATGCCGCAATTTCAGCCTTTGCCTCAGCTTTTCACACCTATAAATATGTAAATTTTTGCTTTCACTGCAGGTGAAAGACATAACCTGGGTTATATCTACTACCTAGATAATTTTAATTGCCGCTGCATTTGTGGGTCTATCTAAGCTGACCCTCATTCGAAGTAAAATTTACGTATTCTGGGGTAGAGAGAAATCTAAAAAGATATTAGGTAGAGCTAAGTTCTAGGACCTTTTGCTTTCGGTCTCAGCTGAAGAGCAACTGATTTCTTATTTGGCTAAATAGAATAAAATTTGCCTCGTTTCAGCCGCTCAAAAAGCCGACGATGAAATTCTCCCTTTGAAATGAGACGCAGGCGCGGACTCCAACTTCGAAAACCGAGAGAATCTCTACAAAAATGTTAGAAAAGCTCAGTAAGAGATTTATGACTTGCAATAGTCTAATATTGCACCATATTGATGAAAAATTTGATGATTTATTAACAAAAAATATTTAATTAAGACTTTGGTTAGGGAAAACTTGTTTTTTTTTTAAAATGTCCACAAACCCTGACGAAGATTTCGACTATTTTGGTAATCTAATATTATATAAATATTTTAAAATATGAAATATAAAAAGGCAATTTAATATTTTTGAATATTACCAAAATTAACTAAGAGGACACACAGATAAATCCACTGCCTAGTTTCGGTTTTCCAATTAAAATGCATTTTGATCCTCCTAACACATTCTGCAATTCAATATACCAACTTTCCCTGCGGCTTAAAAATATTTACACGCCACACAGCTTTTACTCAATTAGTTTTATATATTGGTAAAACTTTTAGGTCATGAATTCATGAAATATATGAATTTCTTTACTTTCTTTTCTAGCTCTTTCTTTCCTTTTTCAATTTGCATTCCATCTCAACCATATAAAAATATTTTCATTAGAAAAATAAATCTCAACGTTTATTCACAGCCACAAGAAGAGATAAAAATTCCTCAATCTGGATAGGGTAAAAAAATATTTTTAATTTTGCTGATTGTAGTTGCCTATAACAACAACAACAACAATATGTACAGCTACAAAGGTAAACGAAGAAATTCTTATCATCAAGCGTTGCAAAAATGTGTGCAATTAAAAACTCTCAGCATGCAACAGCCAAAAAAATACAAAAAAAAGAATATACAAAAAATAAGAAACAAGTAGAAAGAAAGACTTTGGGGCAAGACCAGCAAAACATGTAAATTCAGCAAAACAAACGTAAGAGAAATTAAAAGAAGCCCAAAGCAGGAATCATTGGATTTTAATTAACATTGGGAAAAAATGGGATAGGGGCAGAGATACCGGAAACAAAGCCAAAGGACCTTTGGCATTGCTAAAAAAGTAGATACACATATTATGTGCACTTTGTGATTTCGATGTTTGTTTGTCTTTTTAGTTCCTCTGTGACTTTGGCTCTTGGTTTGTAGTCAATGATTTTGGCCTCTCACTGCCTGATTGCATTTTTGTGGAATTTTCCTTCACCTGATTTTAAAGTCAGCGGTAATCAGAAAAGGCATTTGATTCTTTGGCAGCTTAAGTTGGGAAATGGTTTGTAAATGCATAAAAATAAAAGATTCTAAATTTAATTGACAAAATTCTTGTAAAAAACATTAATTTTGCTTCCACTTTTACTTTTTGCCTTCAATATTCTTTAAAAAAAACGGCCCCTCTGATCGTTTTTCAACGTTTTTCTATAAGCATCACAGGGGCTTACTTAAAATCTCTGGATGCTGGAAAAACTCACGAGTGCCGCTAGACTCGGCAATGAATCAAGGCCCCCAGGATGCATTGCGGCACATACAATCCCCTATCAGCCCGTCGAGAATCCTTTCCAGTCGCTAGCGACACACGCACCGGGTCAATTTCATGCAACACAAACAAGAAGGGGACTACGGGTCGACGGGGCAGGGGCTAAGAACAGCTTTCTTGCATGGAGGACACGTTTTCACTCGTTTTTCCATGATTTCCCATCGCTTTTCCCCAGCTTTTCCCTTTGAAAGGCAGCCAGGCGGGCAGAAAGAGCGAGCAGGTGCTCAGCTGTAACTAAACGTCCGTTTTAACATTGCCACCTGATGGTCCTGGTCCTTACTTTCTGGATTTTGGATGGGGTTGGGGCATGTGGCGAATGTCAGTTGCTGGTCACGTCGGATGCTGGGGCATAATTGATAGTTCAATCTGTTGCAGATCAAACGCTTGACAGCAGCCAACAGATCAAGCTGAAAAATTGCCCAAGACCAAGTTTGGCCAAAACGAGAGAGGGGTTAACATTTGATTATGGGTATCTTTAGCTCGCCTTTTGTTGCGTTCAATTTAAATAAAGGTCGAGGTTGAGGTCATGCTTAAACTAGTTAAGATAATCTTAGATATATATATTAAATAAGATTAAAATATTGTAAATTAAATAGACTTTAAAAGGAAAGAAACTTATTCAAAACAAAGTCTTCTAAAGAACTCTTTAAAAATCCGCACTCATTTTTCCTTTATGCAACTTCATATTTATTTTAATGGCTTTGGCCTTTCAGGCTGCACTTTATATTTGCCAAGTTCGTGAGCGTTTGTCAACTGAATGGCGCCTGAGGGAGGCGAGGAATACAGCTTAGCCAGACGCTGGCATAAAAACATCAGCTTTCAGCCAAATAGATTTTTATGCTTTTAAGTAATTTGCCACACAAATTGAAAATCCCCAACTGCAGCTTGCATTTATTTCTCCATCTAAAGCTAGAACTTTCTCTAATCTCTATATATTTATTTGCAAATAAATATACTTTTGTATACATTTTTATGCTGGCTCTTTTTGTTTGCCACTCATGTTCTGTTGCTTAATTTTAATGGCTTGTTGCGCATTAAGCTTCTAGCTCCATTTATGTTTATGTTCGCATTTTTATTTGTGTAATTTACGCGACGAGTGCTGATCATAAATTGCGACACGAACTCCGGTGTCGGAAAGGTCACGTTGGCTCATTAAAGTCCCAACAAAAGCAGGAACTCGAACAAGAGCAATAAGTGTAATAACAAGAGTAATAAGAGTCACAAAGGGGGCGCATACACTCAACACATGCGAACAGGATAAAATGATTTACCTTCCGAATGAAAGAATATAAAATGACAATCATTTTCAAAGCGAAACGTGTCTGGAAAGGTCTAAAGAAATGTCTGTCTGTTTTCTGCAAACAAAACTATGACGTCAAGATTAGATTTCTCTACGTAATTGGTTTATCAATCAACGTCTCCACCTACGCACGTGTTGATATACCATAGTATTTAAACTAAATAATTCATAACTTATAGATAACGAAAATTCACACACAATCAATGATTAATAATGAAAGGCCACCAAAAACGATTTCTAATGAATTTCAAGAAATTTCTAATTAAATCTAATCAAGATGTCATTAATACAAACCAACCACATATCATATCAGAAAAACAGCTCTAGATATAGACAAGCTGGCGGGCCAAGTTAAGTTAGTTTGAATTTAACAGCGGAAGAGGAAAGACTTCTAAAAAATACTTTAAAATTTGGAAAGAAAAATTGTTATGCCAGGTAAAGTTTTTGATTTTGTAACAACATTTAACATAGAAAGTAATAGGTAAACCATTAAATTGGCTTAGCTATCTTTCAAAGCATCATGAAGTGGAGTAATTAATTCTAATCTTTTGAGTTCTAATTTCTTTCAGCTAAGACCTCGAACCTCTTGCCAGGGCTTCTGCTGGTTATAGCCTTCTTCTGGAGCTGGCAGTTGAATGTCTTGGCCCTGCCGAGAGCCGAACCTCGCCATGAAACTTGCAACAATGAGCAGCGATACGAGAACCAGGTGATGTGCGATGGGAAGCAATTTGGAGCTTTGGTCCCCTATCCGGATAATTGTAGTTTATTCCTGGTCTGCGATTGCCTATATCCAACGGTAAAGAACTGCCCAGCAAATCTCTGGTGGGACAACGATACTCAGCTGTGTAATTACCCCCAAGCTGTGGATTGCATTTACTATACGATCGAAACGCCGCGACCTACAGAAGGAACTACCAAAATCACAACAGAACCAACACCCAGCACGGAAAAGTTGACGACGGAAAGTTCTTCGTCTACTACTGGAAGTACTCCTCCAACTTCCAGTTGGGATCCACCACCGGCACCTCCTGGAATTTCTGAGGATTACTGCCGTAACTTTGAGCATGGTTCGGTACACTACTATCCCTATGATTGCCAGGCCTATATAAACTGCACTAATGGCTGGCCAGTGCTGCAATATTGTATTGAGGATAAACTCTTTAATGTATTCCTTGGCATCTGCGATACTCCCGATGAAGTGGAATGTGAGGTAGTGCCCCTGCCCACAACCACAACAGAAATACCAAAAACTTCCACCACCGAGGAGGATGTAGAATGTGGACCAACTCCAGAGGGAATAGAGGAGGATTATTGTATGACATTGGCCAATGGATTCTATCAGTATCCCTACGATTGCAAAGGGTACTTGGAATGTAGAAATGGCTGCACGGATTTGGATTACTGCCAGCCGGATAAGCTCTTTAATGACTGGCTGCACATCTGCGATACTCCAAACTCGGTTTGGTGTAATCCCAAACCTTTTCCCACGACTCCACGAACAACCGATAAGCCGACCACTCCTCCAGTCACTACAACTCCCTTCGATCCCACCACTTTTTCTACTGAAAGTACTACCAGTACAACAGAAGCGATTACCACGACCACACCTGGACTTCCCTCAGATGTTGATCCAAATGATTGTAAGGGTAAGCCAGATGGCACTATTTTCGCTTACATTGGAAATTGCTCGGAGTACTTGATTTGTAAAGACGATCAAGTGCAAATGGGTCATTGCCCGCCCTCTACGCTCTTCAATCCCGATTGGCTGGTCTGCGATGATCCAGATGATGTTGTCTGTCTTGGAGATCGTACCACCACACCGATTCCAACCACCCCACCAACCACAACCACTGAGAAGACTACTCCAACAACCACCACAGAAGCAACAACTTTGGGACCTGATCAGCTTTGCCACGATCAAGAGGTGGGAGCTTCCTTTCCTTATGTGCAAGATTGCAGCCAATATTATCTCTGCTTGGGCAATGGAAAATGGGCTCTGGCACCTTGCATATATGGCAGCTATTTCGATCCAACGACAGGACAGTGCGGACCTAATGTGTCACCCGATGCTTGTAAAGCCTCACAGGCTACCACCACCACAACCACTACAGAAACTACAACAACCGAAAAGGTTACCACACCGAAAACCACAACTAAGGAACCTTCAACCACTACGAGTACAACCACAACTCCTTCTGCAACCACTGGAATATGTGGTGGTCGGAATGAGAACGAGAATATAGCTTACCCCAAAAACTGCAACAAGTACATTGTGTGCGTTTCTCCAATCCCCATAGCCTTCTTCTGTCCGGATGACACATTCTTCAGTTCAAAGTTACAGAAGTGCATCGAGAGTTGGGAAGAGAGTGATTGTGAGGGAGATCAGAGCACTACGACTATAGAACCAGGCTATACCAGACCTCCCCCTGAACCCACCATGTGCACAAATAGCAGTCGGGATACTTTCCCATATCCGGATAACTGTCAATGGTTCATACGCTGTGTGGATGATTATATTTACATGATGGACGTCTGTAATTGCGGGGAGTACTACGATCCTATAACGGAAAAATGTGGAGCAGATGTCCCATCAGATGCCTGTCGTTGGGATTATACATCAACCACTTCCACTACCAGTGAGCCGACCACAACCACAGCTGTCACTAGGCCACCACCACAAAAAGGACCCTGTGATGATGTCGAGGATGGTGCTTTGGTCCCCTATCCAAACGATTGCTCCAAATATATTAAGTGCGATAGACCCATTGCGGTAGCCTTCGATTGTGATGAGGGAGATGAGTTTAGTGTGGAGCTGGGAATGTGTGTGGATGCTTCGCTGGCCAATTGTTCGATTACCACCACGGCTAAGCCATCAGATACGACGACGACACCAAATGACGGGGAGCCTTCATCAACCACTTCTCAACTAACAACTGAGTCCTCTACTATATCAACACCCCTACCGACGACTGAGCCATCTACAGCAGCTTCTACAGAATCATCTACAGAATCTTCTACAGAATCTTCTACTGTATCATCCACAGAATCATCTACAGAATCATCTACAGACTCATCTACAGTCTCATCAACAGATTTAACTACAGAATTATCTACCACATCATCTACTGAACCTCCAACAGAATCAACAACTGAATCATCGACAGCCATTTCTACAACAACAGAGCCAGAATCTTCCACAACAGAAAAGGAAACATCTACCTCGGAAGCAACTACCACAGCTAAACCTTCGGGAGGAGTATGTGAAGGCAAGACAGACGACTCCTTGGTTCCGTATCCGAAAAACTGCAGCAAGTATATAAAGTGCCAATATCCGATACCCGTTGGTTATGATTGTCCAGATGGCTTGGAATTTAGTCCCACGGAACTAACTTGCATGGATCCTGAATTAGCTGGTTGTAGTCCAAAGATAACCACACCCGGTCCGACAACATTGACCACAGAAACGTCTACCACTGAAGAGCCTACAACTACACCATTGTCTACAATTTCAACAACTCCCGTGACAACAGAATCAACAACAACCACCACGGAATCAACAACGGTTTCAACCACACCCGTGACAACCACCACAGAATCCACCACAATTTCAACAACACCCCCGACAACCACCACAGAATCAACAACCGTTTCAACAACGCCCGTACCAACCACTACAGAATCCACAACAATTACAACAACGCCAGTGACAACTACCACAGAATCAACAACAACAAAATACACCACCGTTTCTACAACAACTGTGGCACCCCCCACAACTCTGGATCCCTATACCCCCAATATTTGTTGTGGTCAGCGTTTGGGAACTCTGCTGCCCTACCCCAATGATTGCAGTCGTTATGTCGTTTGTGATTATCCAATTCCATATGCGGTGGTTTGCGAGGAGGGAACAGTTTTCGATGAGAAGCTTCTCCAATGCACAGCTATGACCAGTGAAAGGTGTCTGTACGTGGATTATTAAACATATGATTTAATAAAGCTAAAAGCAAAGCAATACTAAGTTAACTATTTCCTTTTTACCCTCAAAATCAATTGTGTAAATGCACAAATGCTCAGTAATTGAGAATCGCTTAATGTATTCCTTTCATCCTTCACTTCTAAGGCTTTGTAAGTCCTTTTTAAGTGTTCAACTTTTTTCACATATACTTGGTTGCAGTATCAATTACATGCAAACCCTTTTTCCGTAATTTGTCGCAACAAAATGAAAACCAAACCAGCAAGAGAAAAAAAGATAATTTACCACTTAACACAGTAAACTCCCCTGACAGGTAACAAGCCGATTGGAATTGTAGAGCCTCCTGGCGAAAGGATTGCCAATGAAGACCCTCAAGGGGCCTCAAGCACGGGACAGGATTTTTAGCAACAGGCTAAAAGCAATTTCCCCATGACAATGCCAACGTCTAATATCTGCTCGCTTACAAGTTTCAGCCATTTATCGTAGTTTGATACCGCCTTTCGTGCCCCAAAGCTCAAAGCCCCCGGAAACTCGTCTAATCAGATTTGGGGTTGGCCACATAAAAACACAATTGCCATGGAATTATCCTTGGAGTGTGAGGTGGCAGCCAGCACATATACAACTTGGGGGGTAAATATAACAAGCACAAGGATAAGTTGTTCAGCTTTGTTGTTATATGGCTGTTGGTGCTGAAGAAATCGAAGAAAAGAAAGCAAGTTATGTATGTGAGTAGCAATGACAGTAACGACACAAAATGAACACAATTCGAGCAAATTGTTTGGCAATAATGTTAACTTAATGCGTTCCATTTGTCGCACTTCAATCGATAGACACGCGCGAAGGCCCTCCTTCAAGTGATTTGTAACGCTTTGATAGCTCCCCAGGATAAACAGGATTTGTGCTTGTGTCTACAGGGATAATCAAGGAGAGGAGACCACAAAATTGAGCAACAAGTCACAAGAATTTTATTTAATTGAAAATGAGACTTTCCTTTGAGACAAGATTAAATGACTTTAAACTGTGATTTTCTTATTAAATGCTCGTAAATTAAATGCTGATTGGCTGGGTGTCCTGAAAAACTGAATCTCGATGCCAAGCAGGGCAATAAAAAAACAATTTCGCCTAGATTTGCCTAGCTGGGCTTAGTTGAATCACAGCCAAAAGTCAAGTGGTGCCAAAAAATGTTGAACAGGCAATATCCGTTAAGTGAGACACTCTTTTCTAGAAGAAACTTTTATAGAATATTTGTAATACATTGAATGATCCCACAAGATCTCTGACTTATAAGATTTTATTAACTTACTATTTTTAAAAATTATATTTGTTGGCGAGACAACTTTTTCAACTTAAAAGTATTCCCTGAAGGCACCAAAACCCACATTTGGCAAAAGGCCAAACCATTCCAAAAGCTCATAAATGTACCATTTAGTGTATGCATAATCTGTGCCAAGAATGCAGTAGAATTACAATTTTATAGTGAAAGTTTTCGGGGGCATAAACAACACTTAAAACTAATTACAGGTAGGAATTCCCCAACTAATTGCCCAACGAAGCCAACCTAATGGACGGCTACAGGGAAAACTTACCGAAAACTCTCAACTTGCAACGATATCCAGACATAACTAACAATTATCAAAATCTCAAAGCGTTGCAGTTGAAGGAGAGACAAATCGCAACGAAAACATTTTCGAAGCACTCGACACATGCTGGTTTATCAAATTGCCATTCCCCAAACTGTGGCAATCCCTTTACCCTTCGTTGGCATTTTGGAGCTGCATGGGTTTTAGCTTATGAAACTTGGCTTTTGCGCATATTAATGTGCAATTCCATCCATTTATGTAAAATGTATTTTATGTTTCCCGCGAGAATTTAACTCCATGTTGCATGCCCCACTAGTTAGACAGACAGCCAAAGTTTTGGCCCTTCTCTGTTTTGCTTATGCTGTATTAAATGGCATTTTGAATATAGAGAAAAAATTCACTTGCGAATATTGTTAACTTTGAAATATTTACATTCGCAAAAATTTCATAAAAAGCTTATACAATATAAATGGGTATGGAAAGGCCGGAAAAATGGTTTACTCGTGTCTATGAAAACATAATCAAATGCTATGGCCAGTTAGGGGCAAGCGCTGAGTTTTTTTTAGACGGATGGGGGAAAATGCACTTAACTGTTAGTTTGGCTTTTGGTTTTGAGTTCAGTGAACTGAAAACTTTGTTGGGATTTTAAATAAATATTTTTGCTTATTGTTAAATGTTTTTATTTAAGAACGTAGGCAAATGGTCTAGAAATAATCGATGTTTTATGGGTAATTTTAAATTATGTTGGATTTTATGGGTATTTATTTATAAAGATTTATAAAGATAAAAGGAAGATAAAGTTCTAAGTTGCTTTCCATAAATATAGGATAAACTTCTAACCAGCTTCTAACTTCAGTCAAGAAGAAGTTATGATGACATTTAAGCCCAGATTGATCGAATTTCCAAAACTGAAGGCATCGTAAAATACTTGACCAATTATTTGGCAAACTTTCTTTGGACTTTTGGAACAACTTCACCTGCAGGTTATCCACACTCTTACACCAGATACCCACAGCAATCCAACCACTTAAGATAAAGCTCAACCTTTCTGAAAACTCCACCCACTTTGAGTGTGATAACAGCATGTAAGCGTTGTCATAACACGATCCGGTCATATAAAAACAAAATTTGCACAAATTTAATGCCTCCGAGGCAGACGTTTAGCTTTTTATGGCCCGGCCCTTGAAGGACCTCATCCACAGCATTCATATTCATAAAAGGCAGCGTCTCATCATTATTTGTCATGGGTGCATGTAAACAAGTCAACAAAAAAGAAAGCGAAAGACAAAAATCATGACTCACGCATAAAATTTTATGAACTGAAGGGGACGAGAAAAAAGGATACCATGGCATTGCGTATACGCAACGTGGAGTGATGGTTTGTGGCTTAATTAAAAGTCAGCGTGTGGTTTCAATATAATTTATAGAGTTTATAGAGTTCAGACTAACTCGCATTCAATAAATGGAATTAAATTAAAAAATAATAATATTATTATATTTTAGAAGGAGATCTTTTTCCTTTGTTCTGAAAACGTTTTTAAATCTTCGCCTTGCCATTACGTAAGTTGCTGTTTTCAGGCAAAGAAGACTATTTTAATTAAGGAGAAAGTACAAAATGTAAATTACCCGCAGGTGGTTCCTGTTGGTCTTAAAAATCCCTGAACTGTTTACATTTCTTTACAGTTTTTCTCCTTCTTTGCATGCTGAACATTCCTTTGTCAGTGATTCGCTTTTGCAAACGAAACCAAAATAAGTCACTGAAGAAAGTGAGCGGAGAAAGCGAGAGTGAGTGCAAATTTAATTGAATTGATTTCCGTTGGCTTTCCGTGGCGCATTTTTAATTAAACCGTTTTTCGATAGATTTCCAAAGAGGAGGAGTAAAAGATTAAGCAAACTGCTAACCAGGACTGCAATTTGCTTTGAGGTTTGTTAACCACATACATTTTTCCCCTTTAAGAACTGACTGGAAGTTGGGGAATTAAAAATTTTGTTATTACAAGCCAGGCCACCCACAATTGGCTTTCTTTCCTTGCCACCCAACGAAGTTCAGCTACAAGTCAAAGTTTTTACCCTCTGAATGTGTGTGCACTCTCAACTCTGTCAGGAGTCGTGTGTTTATTTAATATCTATAAAATAAATTAAACATTCATATTCCGTTTATTTACTTAGGCAAATTGAGTTTTCGCAGTTGACATGCTGAACACGCTAAAAAAATGAAAAAAAAAACCGAGAAGAAAACTTTGTAGAATGCCAGAGGAAAACGCGAGTCATGTAGGCAGGGTGGAAAACCCAGCAGGTTGGGCAAACGAAAAAATGGAGTGAAAAGTTGGCTGTGTCATCCACATCGGTCTGTAAACAGGAAACGAGTGTCTGTTGCATGCAGAGAGTGACAAATGTCATGAAATATTCAAATTGGCAAAAGTGTTGCCTTCGCTGTCGAAGACACTTTTGGCCCACACACATTTTAGGCAAAACTTTTGGCCCTACTTTAATTGGCCTCGAGAAAAACGCCCCATTTATCATAGCCCAGTTACCTTAACAGCTCATAATTGGCAATTGAGTATAATATAGAATATCATAAATACATAAAGCTCAACCTTTGGGGGCCAGACAGGGGCACATAGCAAGCCAACATAAATCACATGCCCCAAAGCCATGGAAAAAACATTTGTAAGTTGAGCAAGAACCGCAAACACTTCCCTTCGGTAGTGTACACAAACATATGCTTCGTGTGTTGTGTAAATATTTAAGCAAACAATAAAATTCGAAACAGGACCAGGCCAAAAAAAAAAAAGAGAAGAGGAGGTGGGCAGTAGTAGCAGGTGTCAAATGTTGCGGCCAAAAGAAAAAGCAAAGTCAGTTACACCCAGGACCTGCCACTGCCCCTCGTTCTCTTTCCAAAATTTATGACAAACTGTGGCAGACACACAGAAACGTTTGAATTCGCCCATATGCTTAGAATAAAAAATAAATAAGAAAAGTTGAACCTCAGGCACAGACTTGCAGATACCTATTAGGTGAATATATAAAAGAGGATTCCTGATTATTTACTCAACGAAGGAGCAAACTTTTTTAATGAACTATCATTTAAAACTTAAGTTATGAATTAAAAATTCCCATTCATCAATCTAACATACCCTCTCTTCAACCTCAAACAAAAAGGAAACTCAAAAATTGCTTTGCGGAACTTTTCGGTACGTGCCACTTTGGATAGGCACGAAGTTGTTGCAGCTGCCTTCGACCTCTAGTGTTCGATGTGTTTTGTGTCTCCTTTTCTTCTCTTTTTTCCTGGTGCATGACATTAGTTGTGAGCACATAAAAAATAAATAAATTTTACACACGTCATTGGTTTTTATTACTGCAGCAATGGGGAAAAAGGCACAAAAATGATTTAGATCCACTGAGCATTGTTGAAAATTGAACAAGGGTTTCCCCCTTGCTCAGGA